ACATGACCAGAAGGTTTTGATCCATCTATTTTTGTAATTAAGCAAATTGTTGGCATATTGCAACTTGAGATGGTGGTGTTAGCCAGCCATAGGGTGACCAGATGAGAATGAGTTAAATTTGGGACCGGGGAGTTGCATGGTGGGTCTGGTCATGTGGCCATGGTGGGGGTAGTCAAAATAATAATCCATTACTGTCCAACAGCCATAAAATATGTGTTCTATACATACTAATGCTTATATGTGGGCAACACTAGAATTCATAACAATCACTATTTATTGTTTTATTTGGCTATAGCTAATCAAATCTCAGCTTTAGTCAAGTTTTTGGGGAAAATACGGAGGGATTGTTGTACCCCTTGCTCAGGTACAGCAAAGGCACAATACACAAAAAATACAAATATACAGAATACAAGATACAAAAGTTGAATGGGCAGGTAAAGCCAATAAATCGAATAAATAATTAAAGAAAGCACATACATGTATAAACCGCAAGTGATTCCCGATGCCATTATTTTGCTTTTATAAATGTATTGCACAGGGGATAAAATACTTCGGGACAACCTCTTATATCCAGCTAACTAAATGTCCAGTTATAATTTTGGATACATACCGATTATTATATCAAAAAGTGGTCATTCCTTTTCAAAAGAGATGGTTTTTTGAGAACATCCACCTTGAAAGATATCCTCCAAAACTAAAACATGGCCCTCCAGGGAAAACTCTGTGGGGGCAGAATTGGCCTGCCACACTGCAATTGAATTCTGAAGGCAGCAAGTACAAGGTGATACTAATTACAGGTTGCTAAACAAACAGTCTCACAGGCAGCAGAATATCCCAGGATGCCGAGCGAAAGCAACTAGATGCCAGGCAGCCTTAAGAATGCCAGACAAATGGCAGATATCTGACACAAAGCACTGCAATACAGGGACAGTCTGTCAGGAAGCTAGATGAGAGTTTACCCTGCCAGGCAGCCAGCATCACCAGACTGCCTACAGCACTGCTTATGTGATACAGCCGTATAAAGCTGTTTTTCTTATACATATTTGTATTTAAGACACACAAGTTGCTGATAGGATGAAGGAACCCTGTTTTACCAGACTAAGGCCGATTTAAAGGAAGGATATGTGACACCTAACACGATTCAAAATGTCTACCTTTATTCACAAAAGTAATAGAAAATACATAATACAACATCAGCAAGTCATATCCTTCAAGGACCTGCGGTGCGGCATATGTGTATTTAATGTACCCACCACAAGCTGGATGAATTATTCCATGACTGAATAAATAAATAATTCAAACCTCAACCAATAAATGTGAATTCATTTCAGGTGTCGCTCCTGTCAATTTCTCTGTCCTGGATGCATTAATGGCTTCAGGGATTGGAGAAAAGTTTGTAATGCCTTAAATGAGGCACCTTATTTGTCCTTTTTGGTGCAACAAATGCACACCATCCATCTGGCTGTCGAGCATCGTTGTTTGAGCATCACATTTCTTGTGGAATGACCTGTCAGCTTCTTTAAATTATTTGGTCTTATCTGCAGTTACCTGTGATGTTGTGAAAACAGGGACTTAAATCTTTTTCTCTGCCATCATGACAAATGCCTTGACCCCTTATGCAAAATTGAAATGTGGAAAGGCAGAATGCTTCCATATCTGCTCTGCTGCAACAGAACACAAATACCACAATATGGGTCACAGTCATGTTCAGCTGGAGGCGGAAATGAGCTCTGATAAGGAGCAACTAAGCATGAAGGTGAGGTGAAAAAAACCTGTTATTTGTATTGACTTGTCAGGGGCTTTTGTAGTAGTGTGTACTTGCAGTAAAAAAACAACGACACATATGATAGATTACCTTATTTTACTCTACAAGCAGCAATATTAGAGCTCCCTAACCGGGTTGCACTGTCATTGCTGTGCTTTAGCATGAGGACAGTGTAAGATACAATTTGATTTTGTATCGACACCACAGGCCGAATCATAACTTCATTGAGCTGCATAGATAAGCAGCGTATTGCATCGAGTATAAAGATCTAACTTTCCCACTGTAATTGTACTTGATGATGAATGGCATTGTGGGTCCTAATGTGGCAGTATGGTTTCATCCTGGGCCTCTGGCTCTCACTGGCTATTATCTCCATCCCATGAGGATACATTGTGTCTGAGCCTTTGTTGGCTCTGCGCAGTGGAGTGGAGGACCTAATCTATTTATCACAGGGTCTGCGTGACCACCCAGCCAGGCTGCTATATCGGATCATAGCAGGCTCCCTTGTGCTCTTCCTCAAGGGAAGGAGGAAGCGCCAATGTAACATGCAGCTTCACACCTGTCAAACAGTGCTGAGGTTGGTCATCCCTGAGGAATGGAGCACAGGAGACAAAGCATTCATATGTATTACTATTTTTGTGTCACGGCTTACTCGGCCAAAAATACATGGGATTTTGTCTTTTGCCATAGAGAATGTAATCTTTAGCATTTAGTGTCGGAGCATTCAGAGGGGGGAATCAATTATCCGATTTAAAGAGGAGGTGTTGTTGAGAGCGAGGATTGTGTAGTGTTTGGATGGATTTTTGTACTTTGAGATGTTATTGAAGCGTTGTTGAAGCATGAATCTGGGACTCCTCGCTGCTTCACCGACTTTCTGACATGATGAAATTGCATCATTGAAGCAAAACATGTTGGATTGCCCCTCAGTGTGGTGTCACAACTGAAACAAATAAACCTAAATAACATTCAGTGTCTAACTTTTGTAATTTAGGGTCTGAATGAGGTTTGTAAATTGCTACAATTACATTCAAGAAGCAAGAAAAAATCATTCATTATCAATTTACATTTAAAATTATGCAAATCATTCAAATTCAGCCTTTTGTCAACAGCATCATTTTGTGGACCCCTCCATTATATCTACGCAGGGAGAGTACATATTACAAATAGTTTTCACAATTTCCTATAAGGCAATTCCAAGAAAGACCTCAACTTGACTTGTCGTTTTGATGTTTTGTATTCTTTTTTATATTTTTTAGAATCACATCAAAAATAAATTGTGAGAAATAACTTAAAGGTAGGGTAGGTAAGTTTGAGAAACTGGCTCGAGATACACTTTGTGTTATATTCCATGGAATGCTCTTAACATCCCGATAGCAATGAATATCTTAAGTGCTTTGACAAAAATCCATTAAAAAATGTCATCTGTGGAAGCTGTAGTACTGTAAAAAGCACGACCAATCATTTTAGCCGGCCCGGCTAAAATAACTGGATGGCCTACCTGCCTGTCAGCCTTCCATCTGTGCCCAAACTTATCTCGTGCCCTCATTGGTCATGTGCGCGTTCGTGTGTGTTGGAGGAGGGGCTCTATAAGGAAGTGGCAGATTTTCTCCGGTTGTGTATTTTCAAATTCTAGCGATCTCGAGCCGGTTTCTCAAACTTACCTACCCTACCTTTAAGGGTCCAAGTCCTGTATTGCTTTAACTGATCCTTTATTTATTTCATAGAAATGCCATGGATAGCATCTTCTCACAAAAATAGAAAATGTATTTCGATACATCCAGGTACACCAGACACACATCATTACAGCCATGGTTAGAGCTGAGTGTACGGAGAGCACAGTTCACATTTAATCAGTGTCATGCATGTGTCATTGGCCTGAAACCACTGTGCCTCGCTGCTGCTTTCCAGCACGGCGTCCATGTGTACAATGTTAATTTGGTGCTCATTACGCACACTGCAGAGAGACAACCAAATCTTAAGTTTTAAATGGTGTTTCCATGGCAACCCACCACTAAAGTGGGAAGAGGTGAGGTGCGTAGTGTACTTTGCCTTGAGTGGCTGCTCACATCCCGATGACTCTCCCATTGCTCAGAAACGGGGGCCAGGGCCATTTATGGAATCCACCTCCTCCAGCCTCCTCCAGCGCTGCTCAGCCAACAGGCGCAGAGAACATTTTCATGATTTTTAGAACACCATGGGCCATAGAAACCCCAGATGAAATTACGCTCTCATATTAAGGTAGCTTGTTCTGGTTTGTTGGAGCATTTGCGCTCTCTCTTGAAGGACAGAGGAGCTCGTCATACATTGAAGATGGTTGCCAAACGGCAGAGTACAAATACTTCGTTACTGTACTTAAGTACATTTTTCTGGTATCAGTACTTTACTCCACTACTTATTTTTCTACCAATACCATTTTTATTTACAACAGGTTTGTTACTTTAGTTTTAATCTGTGTTTGGTGGCGTGATCATTATTATTTAGAGTCACTGCGTGCCTATTGATTGCATTTTGCCGTTGTTCAGCATTCATTAATGCATTAGCTAACAATGACATTATTGTTCTATTAATATAAAGTGAGGTCAGTTACTCTATAAAACAGCTGGTAGTTATGGGTACTTTTTATTTAAGTACATTACGAAGCCCATACTTCTTTACTTTTACTTGAGTAAAGACGTTTAGTCAGTACTTCTACTTTTACCAGTGTATCTTTTTAAATGAGTATCTGTACTTCTACTTGAATAAAGGGTGCGTGTACTTTTGCCATCTCTGCCAAAGGGAATGTAAGCATCTGATTTATTTCATCCTCAGGACAGGGAACTCAAATCCCCTGCATGGTGTTTACCCAACTGTGGCATGAAATCCTATCAATTCAAATACCTCAGGATGGGCCGGGTTATACTAAATGCTTGCCCAGTGGTCATGCGAGTGGTCTGATGGAAATCGGGGAAACTTGAAATATAAGCCACTGATTTACTAATCCTGACAACGGGATACGTGACAGATGGCGCCCTCTCTATGGTGTAGTTAATGAAAACACCATCTCCTGTCACTGACACTCCATCTCCAACATAATGGAGCTTTGGATATCAATATGGGAATGTCCTGTAGCGGTGAAAATTAATTTCTGGTGTGTAAAGTGCATGATGAGATGTGTGAATAATTCACAGCTTCTTGTTGATCTGACCTTGAGTGTTTGTGTGTGTGTGTGTGTGTGCCTGTTTGTGTGTTTTGCTAGCTGGGAAGTGCTGCGGTTCCTTCTGTCAAACCTGCGATGGTGGATGGATGAGTACGGCTTTGACGGCTTCAGATTTGATGGTGTTACTTCTATGCTGTACCATCACCATGGCATGGGTAAGTTTGGTTTGTTTGCATCTTGTATTTCAGGACTGAAGTGTGTGTAAAGCATGTCATCATCCTCTCTTTTGAAACATGCAGTGTCGTATGTACCAGAGACAGAGACTTAAGAATAAGGAGTTTTGTTGAGAGGTTTGACAGTTCCCAGACATCATGTCTGAAAATCTTGCTTCAATAAAAAAATAAAAGGTCACAAAAGTGTAACTCTTGCCCCATGAATTAACCACGGTTAAAAACATTTTCCAAGTTATATTTTATATATAAATGCAGTTCAGTGAAAAAAATACAAATAAACTAGGCAGAACAGCCACGAGAGCCTTGTCGACAAAACATGTTCCTAAAAAGTTTTTTGAATAGAGTTAATTTTCTGACTGAAGTGTGCCATTTCTTCTGCTACAATGCTGTCTGATTGACAGATTTCTAGCAATTATTCATTGAGGAAAGCCAATCAAATGAAGCGATGATTTCATGTTTTTAAAAGGATGAACAGTTGTTGGCATAGCAATGTCCCAGCAAAAGGATGAATCAATCAAGACAACTTGTTAATGTTAACATGGATTCAAGTATATATAATACATGTTCAACTTTTATTATGAATTTGTTTGCAAGGAAATGCATTAAGCATGTATGTCAGGCCTTCTTGATGCACCTAATGCATTGTGGTGATTGCATACATTTTGAATTCTTGTTCTGGGAGCAACAGATATATAAAAAGGGACAAAAACACCTGAAATAATCCTCAAGGTTTTATGTAAAAAAAATTATCATAACTCTCTTTTAATATCCTACAAGTACTTGTATTTGCTTACCAGTACTGGTATTTGTGCTTACAACCTCTAAAGTGGCATCTTACTGTGCAGCACTTGAGAGGAGAGTGAATCAACGCATAGTTTCTAAACTGAAAGAGCATTACAGTACTTTTATGATTTATTGTTGAGGACTTTTTAGAAAGAAAGTAAAACAGTATCAACACTTAAAAAAAAAAAGAATGAAGGTTTTTTAGAAGTGGAAAACATGATGAGTGTTGAATGTGTGGGTGTTTACTCCTCAGGCGCAGGCTTCTCAGGGGACTATAGCGAGTACTTTGGCCTACAGGTGGATGAAGACGCTTTGGTCTACCTGATGCTTGCCAATCACATACTTCATACCCTGTATCCCGACTGCATCACTGTTGCAGAGGTAAAAACACACCTTCAGCATCCACTTACTTTGCAATGACACTGCCCAAAGCTACTCTTAATTAAGAGCACTTATTAGTAGGGATGGGAATTTGAAAGCAAATGTATATTCGAATATTCGACCCCCAAAAAACTGTTAACCGATTAATCGAAATGTACATATCCTATAAAAAAAAGAAAAAGAAAAAAAGAATTTTATTTAGAAAAATAAATAAATACATGTCCAAATAAGTATAGAAACCAAGTCGAATTTGTCAAATGTATTGAACTGGTGATCACAGTTTGAACAGTTGACAGCTATAGGCCTACAGCTTTCATGCTTAAAACTTAACTTGGTTTTTAAATGAAAGATGGATCATACACGAACAACATAACGGGTTAGGGTAACGTAACCCTATTACAACAGAGATCAACAACCTATAACAGGGCCTATGCACAGAATGCAGCTATTCAATACTCATTCTTGTTTAAGAATATGAGCATGTCTACATGCTCAGGGGAGAGGCGGGTGCGGAGGCGATTCACAATCAGGCCAGCTGTAGAGAAGACCCTCTCAGCTGGAATTTGGGCATAAGATGAGGTTTGAGTCTGCGTGATCTGCGTATAGGGAGGGGCAGCAGCCATATCATTAGCTAGAACTAGCTAGATCTGATGGATTTGGACATAAACGAGAGTGAAGTATAACCGGACCTGAGAGAGAGAGAGATCAGCACCTGCAGCTCTGCCCGCTGTGAGGGACCGGTGAGCGGAGCTAAACACACCTTTAGACCTAACACACTTAGCTATGGCACTGTCGTATACATTGAATTATTACATTTGATCATATGTAATCAACTTAGGCACCCCTCCCAAAACAAAAACAAACCAAAATTACAATAAAAATATTCATAACTCATATTCTCATATTGGACTACCTGAATAATTTCGATTATTTGATTAATCGTTCCCATCCCTACTTAGTAGTTAGGCATAGATTACTTACTTATGCTTAGGTGTAATTAAGAAGTAAAGCAAAATAAAATGGGATGTCCCTCTTTTTTTGGCCTGTGATGTAGGATTTGTTGCCCTCTAATGTGTGAGTTTTAGAGTGGTGTTGGTGTGATCTTGGCAGACTTATGGGGGGAAAAAAACGTGTGCACATAAAGGGAGGATGTGAAATCAAATAGTGTGACTTCTCTGCAGGATGTGTCGGGAATGCCTGCTCTCTGCAGGGGAGTGGAGGAGGGAGGACTTGGCTTTGATTACCGACTGGCTATGGCCATTCCTGACAAGTGGATTCAGGTAACATGATTTACTTCTTATTCAGGCTCCAAGTTTATTTAATATCTAAAAAAATGTTTCATAAATACAGACATACCGTCAACTTTTGGGCTCCATATAACTTTTGTCAATACCGTCACACTGGTTAGATTCTCCTCAATTCAATCATTCAGTTTATTTTACGCAGCAAAGTAACTGGTTCAGATTAATGACATAGTAAACAAGAAGAAAAAAGTGGTGTCTCCCTACCTTTGAAGGGGTCTTTTAAGTTCAAATATGTGTCCATTCTTCAAGTATTTCTATTCCTTAAGTCCGTAAAGGGCCACCGATGAAAGGAATCAAAACATTTTATACCGCAGGGAAGAAACTGGAGGCTGTAAACGGGGATGAAAGACAAAGTCAATGACAGGGCATGTTAGGAGGCATTAAACACTCTTGTGCTATATTACAACTGAGCCAGTTGCTAAGCTTTTGAGCCTTTTTAAGAAGCTATCAAGAGCATAACATGTCTAGGAATATAGTGACAGGAGGAGGTTGCCCTGTGTTTGTACGCTGTTGTGCTTGCCTGAATACACATAGAAACTCAATTTAACATATACTGTAGTTCAAATAGGAGCTCACTGTAAGTGCTTCTATCCTTAGAAAGGTTCTTCTTTACACCTGCACAATACAGTCATTGACAAGAAACTACAACAACCTGCACAATGGACTAAATTGCATAATAATCTGAATTGATTATTGAATGGTACAATCATGGACCATCTTTGTGAAGCTTATAATATTCATTTTGTGTTTACGCTTTGCCAAAGAAATATATATATTTTATATTATAATATTATATTAAGGTGTTTGACTTTATTTAGCGTTCACTACATTTAAACATTGATAGTACTGGGCATAGATTGCTTGCTGTACTGAAATTAATTCCTTTGGTTCAATAATAAAGATACTGTATAACATATTAGATTTAATTATTTTCTTATTATATATAAAACTATTATATATGTTACTTTTATCCAAAGCGACTTCCATACTCAATACTGTGGACAATCCCCAGAGGAGCAATTTGGGGTGAAGTGTCCCCAACGACATGCTGACTGCAGTGGGGTTTGAACCTGTGCTCTCCTGATCCAAACACCAACGCACTAGTCCACTGTGCCACACGCCTATTTTATAATATTTGTGGACTGCCTTGTTAAACTCTGATGTTCTATAATATAAAACTTTCATTTTCTTGTACCTGCCTCAACTGCTCAATGGGCTTCACATTAATAATATTTAAGTAATAAGTTATTATTTAAAAAAAAGTATGTTAAAAAACGCATATAAAAAATATAATATTAAGAGTAGAATAATAATTAAAAAAAGGTTATATATAAATACAAGTCCAAACCGATTCATATTGACTACAAGGACTATGAAAAAAGTGGTGATATATATCTATATTTTTTGGAGCTAACAAAATTCCATTTCAAAGAAACGTGTAAAAATACCTTTAGTTCTACAGTCATAATGCCACATTCACAGTTAATCATATCACAAATATAGACAGGCCACATTTATTTCCTTGACATCTTTAGCTATTAAATAGAAAGTGGTTTATTGCTTTTCTCTTTCTTGTTTTAAATCAAACTGAGGAAGGTCTTTGTGCTTTTTCTAAAGCAGTGCTAATTTATTTTTCTTGTTTCCCCTTCTTAATCCTACCTGCTGTGTATGCAATGGGAAGGTCATTATGTATCCCTTCAGACACAGAGTTATGAATAAATGATGGAAGAGACACAATTGTTATTAAAAATAAAAGCAGTAAAAGAAAGACAAGCCCTCCCATGTTAACTTAAAGGTCATCTAGTCACTCTTCCAAGATGAAATTAATGTTTTCTTTGTGTAGGATTTGAATAGGCTGACATTCACCTTTTACATTTCACTTTGATTCACATTTCCGTCTGTAATGTCTGTCCTTGGGGTGGCTTTACATAATGGAGAAGCAAAAGTCATTATTCTGTTTGAATTCAATGCTCTGTTAATTGTTCCCAACCAGTTAGACAATCAGAACAGCTGAGGATCAGGGACACTCTCCACAACAACCTCCCTGAACGTTTATCAGACTCCACTCATTCACAAGTAGAGAGGATCATTTGAGCTATAATGAAATTCAAGAATAAAGGGTCAACTTTTCCACTCTAACAGCGGGCACAGTAAGCTGTGGAGAAATTTGGAAAATGTTATTTTAAATTGAAACATTATGAATTTGACATTCAATTCAATTCAATTCAAAACCTTTATTTATCCAGATGAAATCCCATTGAGATCATTGATCTCTTTTTCAATGGAGACCTGCAGCAATATATTATATTCAATGGCAATTGAGAATGACAGTTTATAGTCCTAAAATCCAGACATTCATTTAGTGGCTTCAACTTATCAATGTTTACAGTGTTATTTGTGAAGGGGTTATTATACCGAACATATGTGCTAATTTTATGGAGCTTTACAGTCTGTGTTCACCTCAGTGTGAATGGAGTTTTGTTAGTTTGATCTACGAAGATACATCATAGCAGTACATAAAGCTGAAATGGACAAGCTTTTACGAGAATATAATGTGAAGTCTGCTTTTTATTGCTTTTATTCTTTTTGCTCTCTTAAATTACCTTATCGTTGTTTTTATTTGCTTCAATTTAGTTGTGTTTGTCCTATACTATAGCAGTAGAGTCATAACTGTTTGACATATTAATAACATGGTCTTTTACCTTGAGTTTAACTTATATTGTATACTATGTACTTAGGACAAACCTGTTTGGAAGAGTGAAGTATTGTAGGTAAATGCTGTTTTGGGAATTTGGGCTGACCAGTTTTATTAACTGTCAATTTTTCTCTGTTTGTTCAAGGTTAACATCAGTTATCAGCTCTTTACTCCGCTCTATTTCAGATTAAATGTAAACAAGGGGTATATACGTACATATAAAATATCTAAATACCTGAGAGATTTTTAGAACATTTACATGGCGGTCCCAGTATCATGCAGTATTAATGTAAGACAATAGTACAAATACATTTATTTTTTAACAGCAAGAAAAACTTGAATATTTAATATCAGTGATGCGTTAATATCCACCGCTGCTTCAGACTAGATGGGAAATTCTGGGCGCCAAATATTCTCCGTCCTTCAACAACAACAGTTGAAGCACCCCTTTAGCTCGCTCTTCAGCCCAAACTGCCACTGTGAAAGTATTTAATGGCCCACAATGGGAAAACATTGTTGATAACTGCGCAGCCACCAGATATGAAAGTCCATACCTTGTGTGATGCTGATTCGAGGAGTAGCACAGACATAAGTGCATTCATACTGAGCCATATATGCAGAAATAAATAAAGAATATAAACATGTATTTCCTTATCTGAAACTTGCTTGTAATGTCTAATGGCACAACACCATGCCGTACATGAGCAGAGCTTCTTTCCGACCTTGTTTTGGAGCAATGTTTGCCTCTATTGGAGAACTCCATGGATTTGCTGTGCTCTGGATCGGTTCAACTCCTAATTTATTTTCTTGATCCCCTTGGTGTTTCCCCAAAGCCTGTATTAGTAAAAATGTCACACATTCGTTGCCAAACGCTTTTGTGGTTTTATAAAATAAGCAAGTAATACTTTAGAGAGCACATTTGTAGCAAAGCAGGCAAGCAGCAGGTTATCTCTGGAGATGTGTCTGTCTGTTTGGGCTGGCTGGAAAGTGGAATGTTTTTTCGTGTGTGTTGTCTGTGTATGTGTAGAGCAAGTAGAGGACTTTTGTTGTTTGATATTGAGGGGAAATACTCTTTGTAGAAGGCCCTAAATAGGTTATCTTCTCTACGATTTACATAAAGCTCTGCCTTTTTTTTTTATACACTAGCCCCATATTAAAAGTTATATTTACTGATTATTTTTGTGAGAAAGCAGAGTGTGTGACCTCGGCGCCGCGTGCATCCTCTTGCACTACAGTTTCTTGTGTTTCTCGATGGGGGATGTCTATGCATCGTTAATCAAGTCTGTCTCTCACAGCGGTGGTTTTTACTCGGCAGCGAGGATGAAGGGAGGAGAGGAGAGGGGCAGAGGAAGGAGAGGTGGAGAGGGAGGCATAGTCCCAGACTTGACCTTCCTCTGTGTTGCCTGCGAAAGCTGTGAGACGCAGCCCTCCTCCACCATATCCAGAGGTTTCACAGGATTATCCTCGGGACGCCTCTGGAGAGATTGCTGCTTTTACTTTTTCAAACAATATTGCCTGCTATGCAATATTCGTTTAGATACTTCCCGTCGTCCCAGGTTTTCTTTTTCAATTACATGTGTGGACTCCCTGCGGAAACATGACGTCACATAAACTGTAAGGCTGGAGGGACGGCGAGCTAGAGGTTGAAAAATGCATGTATTTCCGTGCAGGGGAGCATTCGTATGAACATGCCTTGGCGTAGTCAGTGAAGTGCACTCAGAACTAGCCTTGCCTCTTCTCTCAGAGTGTCAATTAGGGAGGGATTTGAATGGGCTGAAGTGGAGCCTCCAGTGAGAGGTCTGTTGCAGAAAAGGAGACATGGAGCCAGAAGGGAAAGGCTTCCAAGAAGACAGACAGGCAGGAAAGAAACAGAAGGAAAGAGAAAGAGCAACATGGATGTGTGCTTATTTATAGATCCACATGTGTGCACCGATGAATCTCTCCCATTTCCTCAAGCAGGGCCTCACGCTGTGTTTGGTCCCCAGCATGACTGATTGATATGACTAATTTGCTGGCTGCAGAAGGCTGTTAGGAACAACAGGCTGTGAGAAATTAAGATATCCTAATGAGGACCAGATAAGGCGTAGAGCACACGTTTGGATGATTCGATCTGATATGACCATAAAATGCTGTCACTCCTAATGGATAATGTTACAAAAGCCCTCTAATTTAACAAGCACCCTTCCCTCCAGCTACAATAGATTGAGATGTAATTGAAACAATTAGAGTAGGAGGAAGTAGAGGGCTCGCTGGTCGCGGCAAGGACAGGAGAAGGCGATGCCGAGAGTTCTCCGGTATCTCTCCGCTTCTGTCTTCAACTTGACCTCCGAGTCAATTGTCCCGATTTGTGTTTCTGTTCCTCCATTTATTTTTAATTGAATGAGAATATCAGTCTGCACAGCTCTCTCCTTATTAGTTTTAGGGGGGGGGGAATCAATTTCTGGTCCGCACACTTGCTCTGTCCATCATACTGGAAACACTTTCAATTAACATGACTTAATAAAATTCAGGCTGCGGGCAGGCAATGATGGACTCCAGCTTGTTTATGTCAACAACTAGGCGGCTTCATCGGCAGCCTTTGAGGCTCGCCCACTCTTTTTGACCCCCCTCGGCCAAAGTCACCCTCCCCTCGACTCCTGTAAAGGCAGCATTTCAGTTTTCATCACGCTTTATTTTTATTAGCTAATTGCACTCTGAAACCTTCCGTGTATGCTCTTAACTCGAACTGCGGGATTTAGACTCTTTACAGGAAAATTGTGAGGTGAGCTAAGGAGTGACTTTTAGCCTCCGGCGGAGACATCTGCATGGTCAGGGTTTTCATTCATTTCCAAAGAAGCCTTTGAAAATATAAATATAGGGAGACATTATCTTGATCCGTGGGATTGAGGATCGCCCACTGCCCATCTCTGGGGTCAGTACCGTATATGTGAAAAGAGGATGTCCCCATAGCAATGCAAACAAAGCACCTGTACTTGTGTTTGCAAAGACAGGAGAGGAAGGATGCTCGGGGCCAGCCACCGAATGTAAAACAAGAGCTTTACACCAAACAGCCTCTGAATCCTTCCCAGCACCACGTGATGTTCAGAGATAGGCTCTTCAAGCAGCCACAGCATGTCAGTGGCAGCGACATGACCTCATCCAGCTCCGCCAGATTTTTTTCTTATTTTATTTCTGGCTCTGCCTAATTAATCCCGGCACTCTGGTTGGCTCCTGACAGCAGGCTTGTAAAGTAAGATTTGTGCACTGCTCATTATCATTGATGAAGTGGAGTGTCAGTGGTGCCAGGGAGCTCGGCTGGTCGGGGCTGATGTGGGTGAGCTGCTGGTAGGGAAGTCGTCAACCCAGTCACTCTTGTCTTCGCTCCGACAGTCCCACTCCTAGATTAATTGCTCCCAGACCACTTTTGCGGTTGAATTGAATTGTAATGATTCATAAGGAAGTGTAAAGTGTCTGATTGTACGTGGATGTGGAGGCGGCGGGGATGATCTCCGGGGTATAGCCTGCAGATTCAGTTGTTTGGCTTTTATATTGGAGCTGCTGGGGAAAATAGGAGGCAGCATTTAGAGGATTTATTTATTTTTCAGCTACAGTATTGTAGCATTTTCAGTTGATCTGCAGGAAATAAACACTTTCAATGTATGCACATGTTTACTGTTATATGAATAGATGGTCCATCATATCCTCATATTAACTGAGTCTACCTTAACACAATACTATTCATTTTGAATTGTCTTGAGAATAGAAACCTCTCAACCCATCTGGCCTTGATTATTAATTCATACTATTCCCAGTGATATTATTCCACCATCTTTGGGTTATGTGTATCTAGTAGCTACTTTATTATCTCTCCTACGTTTTTCTATCATTTTTTCAATCGATTTTCCAACCTTGACTCATATTTCACTAGATATGCAAAGACTTTTATTGACCTCTCTGTAGTACGGCCCTTTACCAATATTAACATTTAATATAGAGTTTTAACTGTAAAATATTATTTTTCTATTTTTTTAACACATTTAAAGGGGACCTATCATGCAAAATGCACTTTTGTACGTCTTTTATACATGAATATGTGTCCCCGGTGTTCCAGGGAACTCACCAAGTGTCAGAAAACACAACCCTCTATTTCCTCCATACCCAAATCTCAAAAAAAAAATTGGTATTTTGAAAAAAAAAAGTATAAATATGCCTTATATAGGTATGGTCCTACACTATATTTAAGCAATAGCTCACGACAGGCCGTGGTATATGCTCATTATATCACAGCTAAGGGGCGTGGTTCGGCCCGACGCGAAGCGGAGGGTCGACAACCCCCCCCCCAACCCCCCATTGTTGTGAAAAGTAACTTACAATTCTACCCGTGGTATACGCTCAGTATACCACGGCTAAGAACCAATCAGATTGCTTGATTTTACTTGTCCGTTTTATAATATTCAAATATAGCATGATAGGTCCACTTTAACTTACTTATATGCTAAGTATTTTACCTTTTCAATAAATACTATATTGTTTTTTTATTTGATCTATGTACATTACATTGTTACTATCTTCTTGGGAAATATTTTACATAACTCCCCTTTGCTATTGTCATGCTTTACATTTGGTTTATTGTATGTATTTACTGTCTGAATTTGTGCTTAAAATTAAGCGTCAAACGGCCCCGGCTCCACGAGGACAAATACGGCAAAACGCATCGGAGTAACGCAAATGCAACCGCAAAAAACCTTCCGTCCCCACGCAATATACACCGGATTGTGTCAAGCTCCACGAGACGGCTCCGTTTACATCCAAACGCGGGAAAAGCTGCAGTACATATGCCGAACCTGTACGTGGCGCTGTAACTTCCTCCACAAAAGCAGCAACTCCTCACAAAAGCAGCGAAGAAGAATGGTTGTCATGGCTGCACTTCTGTGTATTCTCCGCGGTGGGGCCGACAGAACCGGGCAGAGTTTTTCGCCGGTCAGCGTGTGTTAAAGTTTAAATCTTCGGGACAAATTATAAAAGTGCCGGTCAAAGGTCTTCATTGTTATTTATTGAGCTTTAAAACAAATGAATAACGACGATATAATGATATATAATCATCAAATACATCTCTTTTTCCTCTCTTCTGACAGCGTCAGTGTCTGTCTCATGCAGCAGGCTGATCCTGTAATGAGTGACCCGACAGTAAAAATGAACATATTTATAACTAGTTTAGGTAGTTTTGAGAGGTAATTAAAATAGCTAAGGGTGATGATCTGACTTGAAGTGTGTGTTTTGCTCCCGCTGCATCACAGCGGCAGGAAGCTGCGTGTCTCCGTCCTGTCAGATTAGACTTCACTCGCGTTTATGTCCATATCGAGATAAAGATAAATAATCTGAATTCAAGGAGGAGCTCCTGTAGATGTATGCACAAAGAACTGTAGCATGGTCAGTAGCGACTGGAGCACGATAGCAACCCCGCGGGGGAGAGGCAGGGAGAGGCGGGGCTATGAAAACGAATGACCGTATAGGCGACTCCACGGCCCCGTTGGACCCCCCAGAGCGCTCAGTTCCCAGATCGATCCACCTTTGGACCCGTTGTCGTTTGCGGGGTCTGTTTCTACGTTTCCCTTACGGCGTCGTGGAGCTTAGAGGGCTATACGCATGAGAAATATGCGGATTCAACCAGTTTCCGTCCTCGTGGAGCCGGGGCCTTAGCATCTGTATTTAACATAACATTTGTAGTGACCACCAAAATTGGGATAAAAAAGCCTACATTAATATTCAAGTGTTATTCATTTGCCCAAAAGAGAGGGAAAAAGCACAATAAGAGGCACACTTTTCAAAACATTTTCAATTATATAATGTTTTAATTTGGCTTAACTTTATGCCATCAAAAAAGCAAAAATGGAACTTTCCAGCTTATCTAGGGCGAATGGTTGTTGCTCTGGGTAAAACAGCCTGGCCCTGGTCACGTCCTTGGCTCAGACGGAGTTAAAAGGTCCGAGAATTTGCAGCACATGTAGATGAGATGTGCCTCGCTGAGGTTGTCTGGTGGCATTGGCAATGACTAATATGGCCACACAAGGCTAAGGTTAGGCAGAGTGAATGTGAACAGATGGTGATATATAGAGCGGGAGAGCCTCCATTTAGGTGGACCAGCCAGTTCATCTCAGACATATTGATCGACAATTACCTTCTTTCCTCAGAGGATTATGGCTCTATAGAGTAATATAAAGGTTTCCTGCCATGTCAATCAACTGTCACAACAAATTCCACTGAGCAGACTCTAGGCCTGTCACTGAGATGTGCTCTCCAACTCCCCCACCAACCAGCATGTCAATCATCAGTGGTTCTTGGAGGGCATAAACTCTGTTTTTTTCCATTCAGGAATGATATTGATACTCTGATCTCTCACATATTAAATCATCTCCGTGTGGTTACCTTTACTGTGCCCTGTGCTCTTATTTGCTTGTTTAACTTTGAGTGATCAGGACTGTATAGCAGCACTGTGTGCTCAAGATGCTGGTTTAGGTGGCCCCTGTTATTTTCTGACCTGTACAAATGCCTCCCGTGGCAGGAAGTGTGCATGTAGGCGGTCCACTGGCAGGGCATTGATTCCATGGTTGAATTTATTGTTGAATCCCTCCGTTTGGATGAGAGGCTTTGACCTTGCCCATCTCAGGTGGAGAGGGCTGATGCCTTACTACCCATAGGCTGTAGTGAAGTTATTAAAAACTCCATTACCACCATTCAAAGGTAGACATAACTCACAGTGCGGATATAGAGATGTCAAAGCAGAGATTGATCTGAGAAAGAAGTGTAACCCCGAGAAAACTTAAGAAAGGTAGAAAGAGTGCCAGAACTGAAATACTAAGCTTTAGACATCCGTCAGAGCCTGAATGGATCTCTCAGCTACACATCTATCATGGCCTTTTCAATAAACCCTCTCTGTCACTGTGTAGATCCTGAAGGAGTGTAAGGATGAGGACTGGGATATTGGCAATATCGTCCACACACTGACCAACAGGCGCTATGGAGAGAAATGCATAGCCTACGCAGAAAGTCATGATCAGGTAAGGTATTTTCTACAAGATCCCACTTCATAGTGTGGATTATCTTGCTGTGGGTCATAAAACATTTCCCTCCTCTCCAGGCTCTGGTTGGGGATAAGACTCTGGCCTTCTGGTTGATGGACAAGGAGATGTACACCAACATGAGCTCCCTGACTCCCATGACACCCATCATCGACCGCGGCATACAGCTGCACAAAATGATCCGCCTCCTCACTCATGGTCTGGGAGGAGAAGGCTACCTCAACTTCATAGGTGAGTGATCATGGAAACACACAGAAAATAACCTTACCACTACCTAAAGGTATACCATATAGAATACATAATTTAGCAGTCTATTAAAAACATATCATTGTCCTTCTCCAGTGCAGGTAAAGAAGTCCTGAGGGACATTTCTGTGTTAAGACAATTAATCCATTGACAAAAGATAATCCATAACTATGTATTACTTATTTGAATTACATGGAAAGCAAAAATGTGACGAATTGCTTCTTTTCACTCTTATTTGTAATTGTAAATTATGTAATTTTATGTTTTAAAAACAAATATATTATTTTAAATAATGATTAAAAGATAAGCCTGTAGTAAAAATATACCGTATACATTATATACTGTAATTACGTTTTTGCATAGAGGAACTTTATAAACAGACATTGCAATTCCAATTTATCTTAAAATATACATACTGTGTCTGTGTTGTTCAGCTCTCACATTGTGTGTCATATGCTGTGTATACAGTATGTATGTATATATACATATGCCATGTATATTCAAATGTTGTGATCAAGTGATAATATATCATTGTGCGTGACATTGAGCGGTTTAGAAACAGGTATGATCTTCCTGTTCGGTGCATTTTTGTTAAAAGTGTTCATTTCAGATCCCTCTCATGTAATATATTCTTCCTGAATTTGATTCTCTCCCCTCAGGCAGAAACAAAAATAAACCTAAGTGTTCACAGAACAGATATAAATGCGCATTTATTCTCCTGTCCATCCACGTCCTCCACAGGCAACCGGCAGGAACAGGCTTCACTTTAAATGTTGAATTGATGAGCTAGCCCTACTGTGTTCATTTGCACTACTGTTAGTGGTGTTATCTTTTGTGCCATGTTGACGTGTATCTTTATTCATATCAGCTTCAGGGTAAGACTCAGCAATAATAAATGTATCCTCATTCAAAAAGGCTTGAATACACCTTGTCACTAATTTTCTATTTGGTTCAGTTGTTATATTTGTATTTAATGGATATATCTCTGGAGTAGCTTGCGACCAATGCGTCAAGGCTGATGTTAAGCATCAAAGGAACCATTTGAAGTGAGGTTGACATTAGTAGGCTACTCACTTTCCAGAGCTGATGGTGAAATACAGACAGCTAAGTCAAAGATCTGATGTGTTCATTTTATTTTTCTCCTCAAATTGATCCCTATTCTCAGTTTCTGTTGAGATGCTTCTCATTTTCAACACATCATCTGTGCTATGCTTTATGGAGGCCTGCCGGTAAAGATAATAAAATTAATTAAGTTGACTTTGGTTGATGGAACGTATTTCCTCGGAGGAGCCACTCTGATATACAGCATTTTAGCTCCACCTGGTGACTAGGTGATCTGAGTCCAAACAATGAAATATTTGCTACAATGCCTGTGCTGCCTCTTTGGATTCATTATCATTCAGTATTCACAAATGTCCAGCCTTATTTGATGAAAAAGTATGAAGCACACTTTGAATTTCTGCTCAGTGTGTGTGTGGGTAGGAGGGATACAATCAAAGCAGCTGTACTCGATGGACAATCATAACAGGGCAGCTCATAATGAACAGGATGTCAGAGACCCCATGTGGGCAGTTGGACAGTCGATCATAATTATATCTGATTCTCTGGCTGTGTATAGCTTAAAGGAACACTCTGCTGTAATCTTGGTGGTTCGTGTCTCATGGATTCGGAGCCACATTGACTCGCAGCCAATCAGAATCCTCAACAGTTGGTGGAGTAATTGAAAACATTACAGAAAATGTCAATTTAATAACAATATCATAGTCATACACTTATTTGTTGTTAAATCCATATTTCGTTTTTTCATCGTTTGATCACATTAGCTGTTTTATTACATGTAGTCAATCAACATACATGTATATAGTATCAATGGTCTGAATTGATGACTTACTTAGAGAGAGACACATTAGAAAGGGCCTTGAACCTGTCAATAACATATTAAAATGCTTCAATATGGCTAAATAAGGCAATAATCATAGAGCGTGATAAAGGTACTTAACTCATTATAAAATCTCAATGCCTTTATTAAGCTTAGCTGAGGTTCAGTTGCTTAATGTTCAGTAGTAGCATTTTCTCTTGCAAGGCTACATCAGCTTTGTAACCAGAATAATTATTGTCAAAGTATTGTCTAAGTAGTAGCACATTTGTTCAAACTTCTCATTGGCCTCAAATTTGTAAATACTTTCATTTGCGTTTTTTTAATCAGACCTTTATGTGTATTATCCTGTAAATTAAGTACAAATAGAGAGGTTAAAATGAAACACAGGAAGATGTTAAGGATCCTGCGTCATGCAGTTTCCCCAGTCTGAACAGCAAGCCTTTTATTACCAATTTGTATTTCAAGATACTGTATGACACATGCTTCTTCCTCCACTCCCTCTGTTATTTTCATTTCTTTAAAGTGGCGATGTAAATAATTATTTAATTCAATTATGATTTTTATTCAAACAGACAATTACAACTTTCCATTTTTACTTTTGTAGAAACATCTCATGCATCAAGTCTTTCAGTTATTGTGTGTAGCTGTTTGTATCATAGTCAATTCAAAGTTCTCTGTAGTATGAAAAGAACTCAAAGAAAATACAATTAAATCAGCCTTTTAAAAATAATTACTTAACAATTACACCTAATTGTGCTCCATTACCTCAAATCAAAGCTGTCAGAATTACTCAGACAAATTAACTCGCAGATCAGTCTTTAAATTAAAGTTGAATTGCGAGTTTGTCTGGTTCTTTCAGGTTATTCTCAGTGGTTTGAACAGCAGCTATGTACAGGTGACCGGTATTATTATTAAGGAGGAATATTGTTCTTTTTCGAGAATTGCTGTCTAGCTGACAAAGAGAATGGCGCTATCATATTTTGATAACGGTAATAAAGGATGAAAGTTAAAAGCTTTTCTCTGAAGAACACAAAATCAGGGAGCTGGAAAAAAAGTTTAAAAATCGACAAAGTCGCAGCGCCCTGGAGTTCATCCCTGTGTCCAGGCCATTGGGCAAGCATTAGGGAAATAGACAATCAAGGCGATCTGAGATGACATGCCGTGTCAATGGATCAATGACGACGGAGTCATTTAGTCAGTGCTGAGCAAGAGCAAATCGTTCAATTTGAAGTGCCTTGCCTAGAAAAACCCATTTATTTACTCATGACCACCACCAAGTGAGAGGACAGAGGGAGCATCCTTATTTGAGTTGCTGAGAGATGGATACTGTAAAGGATGTTGGAGTGTCAATGACATTAAAGCACCAAGTGGCGTGGCAGTAATGAAACGCCTCAGTGGTTTTATCATTACATCAGCAGGGACAGAATGGAAGCGCTCGCACTTCCTGACTTTCAGGGCTCACAGAGACTTAAGATAACCTTGCAGATTTACAGTCTAAATCATTGTGCTAAAAAACTTCTCCCTGCACTCTGTATTCATGGATTGCTACAATGCAACAGGCAGCCATTATACTGCAGCCTTGGCCAATGAATTGAAAACCAGCGCTTCGTCCTCATACATTTCAAATGGATAATTTCACTGAGAGCTTACTGTGCTTTCAGGCTTGTGGTGTTAGATGAAAAAGGCATTCCCACCACTGCTGTTTGACCAGTAATGCTTATTTAATGTGCAAACTGTGAGCGGGAGAGTACATTAACACAGTAACAAGAAATCAATCAAGCAAGTGCAAATAATCATTGCATCACGTTTGCAGCTTTATGTGTTTTCTTTTCCTTGCACTCCCCTGAAACCTGTTACTCTCTCCTTCCCTTCCCCTCTGATTCCGTCATTGATCTTCTTTTGCCAAAATCCCTTCAATGGAAAACAAATTGATCCTTGGCTCCTTCTTGTGCTGCTAATTACTGAGGGGACTGTGTCCACTGTCGGGCCCTTATCTGATGCAGGGCTGTGTAGAGAGTAATGGGATGTGCCTGCTGAAAATCTGTCTGACATAACCTTGTGTAAACATGGTTTCCCCCCATTAATCATATCTTTATTGGAAGCACCATACATTTAAGCATCAATGTTTTCCAACACACATTTACTGTAGTTACTGTTTCACCCTTTACCATGGATGATCAATCTATAGAAAGTGCAACAAAATTAAAATAAATGCCATAACCTTTTTTTTTGTATTTCAGATAGCCTTTATCATTGGTTATGATATAAATCAATTGAACACCTTAATTACTGAAATCAGGGAATGTGGTCACATCTTAAGGACAGAGACCAACAGGGCAACATGCATTTTAAAGATCATACAGGTTATTATTAAAATGCTCCTTTTATCAAGCCCTTATATATAATCTCTACTATTAAGAAAAGTGCTTATTTTCTATAGTAATAACCAATTTTTATTTTATTTTATTTATTTATTAAACCAAAAAAAAGCCAACCTAGCTGCTGTGTGAGATATAGGCACAAATGTGATTTGAGCTCAATGCTAACTTTTTGTTGATGATTAATGTAAACCAGCTGGTGGCAGTAAAGGGAAATCCAGAGGACCACCCAAGTCTCTGATCCTCTGGAGACCATGACTACATATCATGGAAATACATCCAATAGTCATTTAGACCACAGTGGTAGATTTACCTACCCACATTGCCAATCACATGTGGCTATAGGGTAAAACACTTGTTAACTGTAGTCTATAGCTGTTTCTGGCTTACAGTAGGTTTGTTTACAACCTCATTATCTTGACTTGACTAGTTTGTCTTGACCTGTCTGACTTTGTTGTAGTCAAACTTTGTTAAAGAAACTGCAATAAGCCTTTAATTATTGATTTTATAAAACTATCCTTGTATATTTCTGAGTCGAACTCCTAACAGTACTTTATCATAGATAACAGTGCCCCAGATATGACACAAATTATGCTTTTATTCATGTGTGTATTATGGTGAGCATCCATCATATTTCATCCTTGTTACAGAATGTGTTATCTGGTTTATTTAAGCTGCGAGGAGACAGAGGAAGGTTATTATTATTATGGTGATTAATGCAGGCATAT